ACCACATGATTAGTGGACTAGAACCTTAAGACCCACCCACCCACTGACATTGAGGAAGGCTTGAAAGTACCAGAGATTGAGCTATAAACACTCTGAGCTCTAGATAGCTCAGGGGACCAACATGGTGGAAGGTGAGAACCAGTTTCCCAAAACTGACCTCCATAAGCACACTATGGCACCACATACCACACACACACACACACACACACACACACACACACACACACACTACCACCACCACCACCACCACCAAAAACCACCACCAGAAAACTCCAACTGCTGAGCAGACTATAAAGTAAACTTACACAATGTCCAACCTGTTGTGTGAAATTCTAGAGCACCTATTCCATCCCCCACCCTGTATTTAAGGGTGCCAAGTTTGTACCTGCACTGATTCAGCAGTGTTTACAAGCCTTTCACAAGGATCTAGTAGAACATAGCTTTCCCACCTCTGCCACTGTTAAAGTAAAAAACTAATGGCTGACACTATTAGGGAGGGGAACACAGTATAAAGAACAATGAAGAACAAGAAAGAAAACTAATTAGGATCATAGGATTAGGCTCAGCATTAACAAATGATACATAAAATAAGTCTATAAAACAAAAGCCTTTTCAGTAGTTTGGAAGCTACGAATACCATGTAACATAGTGTTTTGCTGAAGTGAAATCTGGTATTCCTTAAAAAAGAAGTAATTTTTATTGGGGGGGGAGGGCAAAAGCCTAGCACTTTATCCATCCTTCTGTTTTCTTAAGAGCCCAGCAAGACTCTTATAAAGAACAAATACGCAGCCTAGAAAAGAAACTGCTATGCAATAAAATGTAACTGGTGCTAATTTGAGAGCAGATAATTAGTTTCTTACAAGGAATGGTTGTAATGATAGTTGTATAGGACCTTTAGTTTTTCTCAGCATAGAAAGAATACAAAGGAAAATGCTTTCAGAACTTCAATCTCTGGAATTATATGTGAATGCCAATATTTTAAGTTGGTAATGCTCCAAAGGTCTTACACAGTTTACCTTGTGTTCTCAGCCAGTCAATTCAATACACACGTATTTGGACACATTCCTGAGAGTTCTAGAGTAGGAATGGAATACTCTGACCATTTACAGATAAAGCACTTATGTGCATTGAAAAGCAACTATCAATTTGCCTACTATTGTAAACGAGATTCCCTAGTGAGGCAAGAGTTCTAGCAAAACCATATATTCAATAGCAATGATGCAAAAATGGCAAAAATGATACAGAAATGCCAAGCACAGAATAGGAAAAACAAAACATAGTTTAAAGGTAAAACTTGTCGTTCATCCAATCTGGGAACCCCGGAAAAGCCCAGCCCTCTCCTCCTAAGAACGCGGCTGAAATCAACCCTGGCTGGCAATCTCAGAGCCTGTCAATATGAGCTGAAATTTCTAGAAAAGTTGCCGAAGAGAAGCCCAAGCCCCGAAGCACCATCACCGCTTTCCAGACGGCAGGCCCATTGAATGTTGCAGGGTTCGTGGACCGGGCAGCACCGGGCCAGGAGGGTGTGGACCTGCCAGGCAAGGTCGGCTCCGCACAACCAGCGCCCCAGCCCTGGGCTCGCTCCAGGCCGGCCGCCGCCGTCCTCCCTACCACCAGTGCGGCCTGCTCCCGCGCAGGCGCCCGGTCACCTCCGACCCCGGAGCCCCCGGGAGGCGGCCGGCGCCCCTAGCCCTCCCCACAACCCCGCGCGGGAGGCCACCCAGCGCGAGGAAGGACTGCGTCCGCCGCGCAATCCGTTCACAGCCTCCCCGTCATGCCCAGCCCAGAGCGTCCAGCCCTCGCTCCACTCCTCCCGGGAGAAACGCGGCCCTCCGCATCCGTAACGGCCCTGCCGCCTCCCCACGACCCGACCCTCAGCCTTACCCTGACCCCACAGCACAAGCCTAGAGCTAGCAACTCTGACTCCAACCGACTGAGTGCCTGAACGGCGGCAGCACATTCACGACACTTTCGCGACTGCCGTAAAGAGCTGTGCGGACGGCGCGGCAGCGCGCCTGCAAGTGGCTCGGGAGCGCGCCCCAGGGCTCCGCCCTGTCTCCTGCGGGGGCTCAGGAGCCGCCGGCTCCGGAGGCATAGGCTCCTGCTGGCTGCGGTTGGCCAGGTGAGGAAAGCGGGAAGGTGGGTGTGGGAGGAAGACTGTGGGGAGGAGGGGGAGGGCACGCGTCCTATGATCGGTGCCCTAGCGGGAGGATGTGTCCGAAGGTGGACAGCGCCGGCTGAAGTAGTGGGCGCAGCCTGGGACCCTTCGCCCGGGCGGCGGGCGCGTGCGCCGCAGCCCCCTCACCTTGCCGCGTGAGTTTCACCGTGTCATGCGGCGGACAAGGGTGCAAGGTGACTGGAGTCGCAGGCGAGCCCCGGGGGACCCCAGCGTCGCGCGTGAATGGCAACTGGGCTTAGATCCCCGCGCCCCACTCTTTCTGGTTTTGGTACCTCTTCTTGCCTGCATGTCCCGGTGTTTGGTGCGAGGCTTGGTGTCTTGTCTTGTCTTGGCCCCGGGCAAAGCGACGGGGGAGACCTTTGCTCTTGTATTACTGGACTTAGTGAAAAAAGAAAGGAAGGAAAAAAAGTGCTTCTGTTTAGGCAACTAAGGAAGTCTTTTTCGAAGTCCCACAAAAACTCTGATTTAAGTACGTGATCCTTTTGTCATTTCTGAACTCTTATTTCTTGATGGTGGGGGCAGGGGAAGTTTGATATCTAGACGAGTGGTGACCTTGTGTTTACACTGGTCTGTCTGCTCACAGTTATTTTGCAGGGAGTGGTCCTCCCAAGTCAAAGGAAATGACTAGCTAGTCTTGGATCTTCTCACAGCCTTGCTCATTGGAAAAGCATTCACAGCTGCATGGAAGTAATTTTTCCACTTCACCCAGTTTCTAATTTGTAAAGCAGTACCAAAATACAACTTAATTTGTGTTGCTTTAACAAATTCTCCTTTCTCTTCTCTTTAGGAGTTAGTCGTTAGCCGGTATTATGTTTGTCAGGAGGCCATACTAGAGTTTAGAAGATTTTTTGTGCTTGGCTTTGGGACTGATGACTGTGTACCTCTGAATGAAGCTCGGGACTTTCTGTCTGTTCACTTGGAACACACAGAGTTTACTTTATTACTCCTTAGCTCTTACCACTTAGAAGGGACACACAAGAAGTTCCTATTTCCAGTGGCTTTTAAATGTTTGTGGAAAAAAAAAATTGTAACGAGTTCTGATTCATGACTCTTCAAAAACAAAACAAAACAAAAAAAAAAAGGTGAAGGAGAAATGCAAGAAGTTTTGCTAAACATTCTTACTGCTCTGTAACGTTTATTCCTGCATACTTTCAAGTATTTTAAAAGTTTTTTTTTTCTTTATTGGTACTAGACATTGAACTTTAGGCCTCTAACTTGCCATGCAAATCCTCTACCCATCCTTTGAAAAGTTTCTTGAAATCGTAATCCTTAAAATAACGAACTATTTATTGCCTGGGCATGGTGGCACACAGCCTTAATCCTAGCACTCAGAAGGCAGAGGCAGGCAAATCTCCAAACCTAGTCTGGTATACATAGTGAGTTTCAGGCCAGCTGGGGCTACAGGGAGACCCTGAATAAAAAAACAAAACTGTTCTGCTTAGCTGGAAATTACTCAGCCACACTTCCAGCTTTCTGAAGTGAAAATGCATAAGCAATTAGTAGTCTTCCTCACATATTCTGTGTACTTCATTTTCTGTGTTCTTACTGGCAAACTGCTAGTATTTTAAGCTCTGCCTTGCCTCTAAATTGTCATACATCATACTCAGAAAAAATTCATAGAAAGAACTTGTATCATGTATGAGTAGTTATGACTGTCAAAAATTATTAATAAATCAACCATTACTGTATTTTATACTTATTTCATGCTAAGAAACAACTCTAAATGATTGTTTTACAAATTAGAATACCGTAACTTGAGAGTTAAGTAACTTACTTGAAATGCAGTAACTAAAGGTGGTTAATGGTGGGGTTTTTAAAGAAAGATATTTTGGGGCTAGGGAAATATGTCTGTGTGATAAATGATAATAAAATTGACTTCCTAGAATTAAAGCATTATTTAATTCCAGCTGGTAGGCCACCATTTAAAAAGAATTCAGTTGAGTTGACATGGGTCCTGTGCTCAATGCCACCATTGCCACAAGTCCACATGTGCAAGCTTCCAGTGGCCTGAAACCTTCTGCTTCCCTGTGTTCATAAACCATCCCTGGCTCATACAGTCTTTCTACCCCCTCTTCCACTATGGTCCCTGAGCTGTGGGTGGATGAGGATCAATATAGGAGTCCTTTCCAAGGATATACACTCTACGATCTCTTGTTCTTTAAAACCTGGCCAATTGTGGCCCTCTGTGCATCACACTTTGTTGTGTAAGGAAGCTTTACTGGTGAGAGTTGAAGGATGCATTAGTTTTCTCTCTACCCCTTGTTCTGCTATGTTCCATGAGCTTTAGTTGTAGAGGTTCAGCTGTAGATGTAGAACCTAGTACTGGGCATCTCTCAGACATATATTCGCTGTGTCTGACCAGATGTGCAATTCTGCAGTAGCCTCTATCTGTTGCGAAAAGAAGCTACAAGGGCCCAGAGTGGAGGAGAGAAATGGGTTGAGGGCAGCACTAGACTGAGAACTGTTGGAGACTGATTGCTACTGGGTGAGGGAGTATGCCTTACATATGATCTTTAGTTGGGCTGACTAGACTCCAGTGGACGAATTCACACTGAAGGATGTCTGGGTACAAATGCTTAACTGGATAGGACTTAACATGTATGGCGGAATACATGAGGTCCAGTGGGGGGGATGGGGGAGGCACAGCCACGGGGAGGGGAGGTTCTAAATTTGATTAAGAACTGTTGTATGAGATTACAAAAACTTAAAAAAAAATCAAGCCAGGCGTGGTAGTCTATATAGTGAGTTCTAGGCCAGCTGTGGCTACAGGGAGACTCTGACTCAAACAAACAAACAAAAAAGAATTTAGACATCAACTCTTCAAAGCAAAAGATTCTGTTCTTAATCCTGTATTCTTGTGCTCATGCCACAAACACCATTGGTTCACTGGCTAAAATTTTACTGTTGAAATCATGTGGCTTGAAACAATAACTTCTTATTTTTTTGTATATGAATTTCAGAATTTGTAGAAGGCACAGATTTGGGAATTTCTGAAGACTGATTTTTTTTTGTGTGTGTGAGCTCATAAAACAGGTAATTTACCTTTCACATTCTAAATGAGGAACAAGTATATGTGGACCACTTTCAGTAGTACCTAACATCTATTAGTATTTAGTGTATTAGTTAGTTTGAATAAACCTCACTGAACCAGCTATTCTATTTAGACTAAGTGTTACTTAGAGTGTGAGACGGTTTAGTGGGTAAAGGCACTTGCTGCCCAGCCAGACAGCCTGAGTTGGATCCCTCGGACCCACAAGGTGGAAGGAGAGAACTAATTACCAAAAGGGGTCCTCTGACCTCCCCCCAATAAATGAATGAATGAATGTAATCTGAAAATTTAACAATTAATACTAAAAGGCATCTTTTCTTAGGTGTTGTCAGTGTGTTCTGTTCTTTCCTTGCTGCTGCTTCAGCGTCTGTAATGATCTAGCACAGTTCAGTGGAAGTTTTCCATGACAAAGAAATGTCCTGTATCTTTAGTGTCCTTGTTGGAAGCTACTAGACATATATGGATCTGAGCATTTGGATTGTAGTGAGTACAACAGAGAAACTGAAATTTTAAATCATTCCATGTACTTTTATTAGCTAATATATAGATGGTGCAGTCTGTGCTGGAAATATTCCTATTTTTCAAATGAGAAACTGATTCAAAAGAGTCATGAAGCTTGCCTAAGATTTTTTCACACAATTTTACTTTAAAAAACGTGTTTTGAGCAGAGGAATAGTTGTTAATTTGGCAGTACAGACAGAATGGATGGAGGGGAAGAAAAATAGACCAAGAGTGGAGAATCTGAGTTGAGTGGTTACAGTGTACCCTGGGAGGTGGGGGGTGGGGGGTGGGAGGATGGTTGTAAATGACTCTTGGAAGAATTTCAGTCACTTAGGGATAGTATGTAAGGGCTTTGGAGAGAACTTCCTCTGACAGTTACTGTGCAGTCCAGGAATCGAGTAACAGAAGGAAAATGATGATAACGCAGCTTAATGAAATAGAGAAACCAAAGCTGGTTACTATAATTAAGATTTAGTGTTGTTCATTCAACAACTATTGAGTGGTTACTATGGATAAGACCCTCTGTTTGCATGAGGGGAAGTGGAATCATGCTCTCTTCACTTCAGATATGCCTCGATTTTCTTGCTGTAGAAGTCAAGAGCAGTAAATGATGTGCAAGTCAGGTGTTCTCAGAAATCCTTCTACATGCAAAGAGATTGGTAAAGGTTATGTGTAGACAGCAACAGTCCTGCTCGTTTTTGTTTTTTTTTTTTCTGTGTATGTGTGCAGGTGCACATGTGTGCATGTGGGTGTGGAGGCCAGTTGACAGTCTGAGGTAATAATCTACTTGTTTTTAAGATAGACTCTCTCACTGACCTGGAACTTGCCAAGTAGGCTAGGCTGGCTGTCCAGTGATTCCCCAGGGATCTTCCCGTCTCTGCCTTCCCAGCACTAGGCTTACAACACCCTATCACATCTGGCTTTTATTTATATAGATTCTGGAGGTTGAATTCAAGTCCTTGTGCTTTACCAACTGAGCTGTCTTCTTGGCCCTTTGGTCAGTTTTGAAGACTAGGAAGGAGCTAGATATATAAAAAATAGTAAAATGGAGAAGTTATGCTTCTACTGGTAGGGCAAGCAGTATGTTCTGAAAATATCTTTTTCTTAAACTTCTAAATGCTGAGTAAGTTATATTAGCTTTTGGAATGTACAGCACATTTTGTAGTAAAAAAAGAGAAATTCCTCAGCCAGGCATGGTGGCTCATACCTGTAACCCCAGCACCCAACAGGAGGATGGAAAGTTTGAGGCCACCTTGGACTACATGTATTCCAGGCTGGCCAGAGCTACGTGTCAAGACCTTCTGTCAGTGTCCCACCTCCCGAAACAAGTGAGCTAAAAAGGGAAATCTTCAAGGCAGAGAAGTAAAACAAGGAGTTGATGTGAAGCCAGGGTGGTGAACCAGCAGCATGTGCTCTTTGGAAGCCTTTGGCTTATAGCAGAAAGAAGAGTGGTGAGGGACGAGGGACAGGCTTCCCCTGCTCTCTGCCAGAGTGGGAAGATAGAATTCCTGCCTCTGTGCTACCAAGCACATTTTCTAGTAGGCACCATTCTCATGGTATTGTATGCAAATAGTGCCTGGGTTTTGGTGGGTAATATTTTCATAAAATAAAATGCAGATATTTTCTCTTGAAATTACACAATTCATGTCTGCTGAACTACCTTTTCCAAATTCACCCAGATCTCAAGAGTCTATACACTTGGTGAAAGGAAGGCCAGAAAAAAATCTCCCCTTCCTGGCAGAGGGAGGTCCTAAAGAAATCTGTCTTGTTTTCACCGCAGGTCCAGGTGGAGGACTAAAGATACTGTCTGCAGCCTGAAATTGTGTAGAGTCACTGACTGAAGGTTCAAGTTTGCATTCTACATGGTCTGAAAAACTAGAAGCCAAGGAATTACCACAAAGTTGGCCCAGGTTAGTAGTATAGTACAAGGTGGCGGAACTATGTTTAGGACTATTTCACAAGTTGCTGGCAGTTTTGTCTTAAGCCCAAACCAAAATCATATGATTTTTTTTTTTATGAAGTTCAAGTCAGCAACTCAAACAGCAATTTTTCAAATTAACCATTCTATCACAGTCCAGTCAGTATATACTAATTTCATACTTATATGCTGAGGAATGACAGTAGGAAAATATTGTCTTTGTTTTGTTTATTATGTTTTTATTACCATTATATTTCTTTATGAGCAGAAGTCTTTCTGTGCCCAGTAAAAACATTGTGTTTCATAATGTAGAATAGTCTCTAGTCTGAGCTGAGGTGTGTTAAGCAGTGTTCATTGATGTTGTGTGGTATCACATCACAGTGCAAAGTACATATATTGTATGTTCGGAACCGGGGCTGTGAGGAAGTTGTGCAGTACAATGCAGGCAATACACATGCTTGAATTTTGATTACTTTTTGGTTGTTGTGTGTTCAGAACTTACCTCTTGTCAAATTTTTAATCACTCCCATATTCAGTCATATGACCCACAGTTTAAGAAATTGGATTTTAGAACATTGTCATGTTTAAAATCACCCCCAAACAAGCTCATAGTTGAAAGCTATAAAACACATGCAAGGTGTCTAGGGATATAGTTCCATTTGTAGAGTGCTTGCCTAGTATGTAAGAAATTCTGGATTTGATTCCCAGCACTTTGTAAACAGGATACAGTGGAACATGACTATAATCATGCTGCTTGAGATGGGGAAGCAAAAGAATCATGAGTTTATAAGCATTCTGGACTAGGGAATTCTAGGACAGCTGGGGTAGATGAAGACCTGTCTCAAAGAAAACAAAAACAAAACAAAAAGTACTGTAGAGCATACGCAGTTCTGGTCTGGCTACAGATTTCCAAGAATTCCAGCTCTAAAAAAAATACATGGAGGATTGACTGACCCAACAAGTAATAGAATTGGAATTCTACAGAATTGAGAAAGGAATTATGGGAAGCAGAAAATAGCATTTAAGTAATGACAAAGGACATGTACATGTTCAGAATTATTCTCCTAGAAACTTGTTCTGGAGAAAGCACCCACAGGGTCTTGGAAAGACACTGCCAGGATTAAATAGATGAAGAAAAGAAAATGTTGATAGGAAGCTGAGAACTGATAGGAAAGAGAAAAAAAAAACACCAAGAAGGAGGAGATTCTGATAATTTAGGCAGGAGGTTACTCAACTCAAACCTATAATGGTAACTATTAGGGACAAAGGGAAAGAAGCTTACCAAGATTTGAATGTACTAATTTTGCAACTAGTCCTATGATTGAAGTCATATGATTGAGATTTCATTTTTTAGCAAGTCAATCTGAGAGGAAGTTGATGTCATGGAAGATTGTGGAGAATTAAAGAATTTGATCAATATTTACAAAGATGATGGGAAATACTAGGCACAGTTACTTTTAAATTTAAAAATATTTATATTTTCAGAGCCGGGTGTGGTAGCTTTAATCCCAGCACTCGGGAGGCAGAAGCAGGCGGATCTCTGTGAGTTCAAGGCCAGCCTGATCTACATAGTGAGTTCTAGGACAGCTGGGGCTACAGGGAGACCCTGTCTCAAAAAGACCAAAAAAAAAAAAAAGTTATTATTTTTGAAGATTAAATTACCAAAAATTAAGTAACTGAAGATGTAATGTGATTCACATTATTGACTCATTATTATGTAATATCTTCAGTTGGAAATTTAAGGGAGAAAGCAGCATGTGGTATGTAGTAAAGTGATTTTTTTTCATCCCATCATACAGGAGCGGGGAATTTAGTAGTAAATAAAACAGTTACCTCTTGCTCTTACCTTGTCTGAAAGTTTAATGAGGAAGGCAACAAATGAGCAGTGACTGTTAAATGTGCTGAGTGTTCTTGTTGGGGAAGCACAGGCTGTTGCTTGAAACAGCAGGGACACTCAGCTGGAGCCAAGAAGTGTTGAGACTTGAAAAATGTGTAGAAGTTAAGTGGTAGGAAGTTGGGAGAAGGGTGATAACCACGTGGTAGTCAGCCAGATAGCTGTGTGGGGAGGTCTGAAGGTGGACCAGAGACTGTAGCACATTTGAAGGTCTATAAGAGGTGCGCTGGGGTTGTGTAGTGTAGTGATGGTACAACTCAGAGAGCTTGGGTTTGGGTTCTTTGTATGGCGTGTTCTAGCCCTGTAGCCTTGGGCAGTTCTTTTAACTTCTGTAATTCTGTTGAGCTGTAATGAGGTAATATATTGAAGGTGCTCAGTATCATTCCTAACCCAAAATAAACACTGCTTTGTAGTAATGATGAATATGACGATGAATTCTTCATTAGAGGAATTAGAAATGAAGAGTAGCTAAAAGTGATGATAGAAAAGTAAGTAGCGATCTGATGATAGAAGTACCTTATGGGCCATGTTAAGAACAAAATAATCTGTTAGGTATTAGGGGAACCATTGAAGATTCTCCATTGGAGAATAAGTTGGTCAGATATAGTATTTTAGAATTAGGAGGATCACTTAGGTTTTAGGGTAGAGTCTGGTTTGGTTGTGGCCTAAACTGGAGGAGGACTGAAAAATGAAGGAAAAACTAATCAGAAATACTTCTCTGTTCACCAAGAAATATTTGGGAATTTCTCTCCATTACAGTCAGTCAATCCATTCTTTACCTTACACCAGCTGTGTCCTTTGGTGCTACTCTGATAGTTCACCCAGAGAGAGCATCAGATCCCATTGACCGAGGGCTTAGTCCTATAAAACTGAACCTACGTCCAATGGCAGTCACAAGCCCCCAAGTTATTTTACCTGTGCTTCTGACCAACCAACTATAAGTAGAAGTTCCCATGATCTACTCTTTGGGTTTGATTAGTCTGCTAGAGTAGCTCACAAAATACCCTTTATCCCTTCTAAAGGGTATTACAGAGAATACGGCAAGGATAAGACGTGGTGAGAAGTGAGAAGCATTGATGCCTTCTCTGAGTGTCTCCCCCACAAGAGCCTTCACATGGTCGGCCATATAGAAGCTACCATTTGAATTTTTGTTTGATTTGGTTTGTTTTTTGGTTTTTTGAGACAAGGTTTTACATTGCAGCCCATGTGGGCTTACAGGTATGAGCTATCATGACCAGCTTGTTTGTTTGTTTTTTGATTTTTTTTAAATTAATTTATTTTTGTGTGAAAACCGTGGATTCATTTTTTAAAGAATTTTTGTATGCAAGGAAGAAGTCTCCTGCTGTGCCTCCCATCCCCTAACTCAGGGCTTTGATGAAGCCAAAATCTCCTTTGTGCTGTTCAGCTACTGGTCCAGCATCCAACCCTGGATTTGAGTAAACTTGATGTTGCAATTGCCTTTTAGAGCATAGATACAAATTCTTGGCTAGGCAGGCTGCAGCCTTGGGGAAGCCAAGCGTCTTAGTCCCCAGGAATTGTCTTAGCACCGTGGTGTATAGCCTGGTCAATCAGCATGCCTAATGAAGAGGACACATGCTCCTGTATGGTGCCTGCAGGTGCTGAGTCCAAGGCTCTGCATAGTTGTACTCATCTGACACCATTGTTGATCTTCACTGACCACTTTGGGACCTACGTGGCTCAGGGCTGGGCTGTCCATTTACATGTTACCCATAGGCAGGTCCAGAAAGAAGCTCTTTCTGTCTGAGGCAGGAAGTAGAAGAGGGATTTCTTAAATAGCAAGGCAGCTGCATCTCAGTCATGAGAACTCTGATGCCTTAGACATGTTCCTCCACTTCCCCTTTGCCATCAAAGTGGTCTTCTTCTAGCTTGCTACCTGTCAACTTCCTAATGTTCTCCAGGCTGCTACAGATCATGCAGTGGAGGCCCATGCATGTGGCTGGTCTGCCAGCAGTTTACCTTTCTTGTCCTCCTGCTCCTGGCTGTAGTTCTCCCTGGTCTTGATAAAGGAAGCCTGGGCTGTGATCTAGGTCGACTCCATGCTGGTCTTGTCATCTTGGTCTTCCTGCATTACTTTTGCATTTTAAAACCTCACCTTCCTTTGTTCCTGTCCCTAACATCCATAGTCACTACAAAAGCGCTGGGGAATCCATCTTCTAGGAGCAAGTCACAGAGCCCTCTTGGACACCTTTTATAAAATTTTTAGAGCTAGGCTTAGTGGTATGAGCCTGTAGGCTCAGTTGCTCCAGAGGCTGGGGATATGGCTCCATTGGAAGATGGCTTACCTAGTATACCTGAAGCCCTGGTGTTATGAGGTGACTCACCAGAGAAGACCACTCAGACAAAGTTTTGCCAAATGAAAGTTGTTGCTAGCCAGGGCTACTATACAAGGGTGTCAGAACCCAAGTGTGTAGCAGCATGCCATCTCTAGGATAAGCTTTCATACCTAGAGAAGCCATACAGGGGTGAAAAGTTTAAGTTCTCAAGCTTACAGGGGCAAAGCCCCATTAGCAATTCTATTCTATTAAGTAACAATTATTATTTTACAGAAGCAAGCCAAGCACAACCTATAGAAGCCATAAATTTTCAGTTAACAGGTGCTATCCAGGACACTCTGACCTGTTCCTAAGAGAACCAGGGTTCAGCTGACATGTGTTCCCATACCCTGGGCCAACTGCCTGATAATTCCAGACTAGAGTCAGCCTAAACTTTAACATGGAAGCTGTGGTCAAGAGGTGCCCTGTTACACTGGCTTTGATCCTCTGTACCATATATCAACTTTGGGTGTCGTGCATGCTTGTATCCCCAACAGTCAGAAGCTGGCTGGCCTGGAGTACATGAGACCTGGTTTGAAAAAGAGACAGAGACAGAAAGAGAGACAGACGTTGAGATGAGAGGGTCACTGAGTTCAGGAGTTCAAGGTTCAAGGTCACCTTGTCCAACGGAAAAAACCTAATGACTCCAAAACCTACCACATTTCTTGTTCCCCATGAAGGCCTGGTCCATAGGGTCTGACCAGGGGAACTCCAGGTCCACTGCAGAATCTACCACAAACTAACACTCCCCACTGTAGCTCAAGGGTCCCCTCCCTGCATCTGGTTGTCTCCTGCTGTGGCCTTGATCTTATGAATCACAGACAGTCCCCACCTGAGCCTTTAGTATATCTGACTTGTCCTTTTTGAGTTTTGAAGGAAAATTGCACAGGTATGATTGATTGGGGTACCAAAGCCCTGGTCCTGTACTATTGACCTACTCTTCCCTTCTAAAGACCGGCATCTCATTAGCATAGAAGACTCTAGCCAGTCCAAAAATTGCAGAGATTTTAGCCTCTCTCTCTCTCTCCCTCTCTCCCTCTCTCCCTCTCTCCCCTCTCCTCTCTCCTCTCTCCTCCTCTCCAGGAAATAGAAAAAGACCAAATACAGTTGACCCTCCATGTCTCTGTGTTCCATACCCACTGAAAATATGGGGGGGGGGTTGCACATTGGCAGAAGAAATATACAGATATTTTTCTTATCTAAACAGTGCACTATAACAACTGTCTGCTTTACATTTACATTGTTAGATTGATAATTAATCTAGACATGATGTAGGTATATGGGAGGGTGTGCCTAGATTATAGGCAAATACTGTGCCGTTTTATATAGGAACTTGGGTATTTTTGTATTTTGGTATCGTGAGGTCCTAGAACCAATCCCTTTGAGGATACAGAGGGAAAGCTGGATATTTCATGGTATCAAACAGGCCATTTAGGAGACTCTTCTAATAATCTAGCCGAAGACGATAGTTGTTAAGGTAGAGTGGTGGCAGTAAAGATGGAAAAGAGGTAGACTGGAAAGAAATAGGAGAATAATCTGTTTGGGACTTGGTGATATATGAGATGATGAGGTAGAAAGCAAGTTTCTGGCTCTGGTCAGCAGGTGAGTATTGGCTCCAATTACTGAAAAAGTGAGGAATAAGTCTGCGGATGGTGTGGTGATGCTTGCAGGGGGAAATAGCTCTGGGTAGGTGTAATGACTGGCATGGAGTGCTGGAAACTTATTTATTATTGTTTCTCTTTTTTTTTTTTGACTCGAAGACCCATTTGAAATGTGGTGGTTTCAGCAAGGCCTCAGTTTCCTTCCATCAGCCCTTGTAATTTGGACATTTGCTGCCTTCATATTTTCCTACATTACTGCGATAACACTCCACCATGTTGACCCTGCATTGCCTTATATCAGGTCAGTGAAATATATTCATCGTGTAGATGTAGTCCCCCACCCTTCCTCCATACTGGAATTGAACCTGTGGCTGGGTAAGTGTGCTCCCATTAAGCTGCATTCCTAGCCCATGAAAAATCTTTATGATTTGTTCATAGGTTACATCTAAGCTGACATTTCATTTCATGAATTCAAGTTTCTATGCTGACATTAAAACAAAGGAACATAAAACAGAACTTATATTTGTTTCTTTCTGTATAAAAGAGATCTATGGGGACAGTGGGATAAATCTGTGAGTTAGTTAATAGATTCTAAGCTCTTAGTGCCTTGCCTTCTAAATGAGTGCTTGAACTTGCCTCAGAACCAGGAATTGGAATTATTATCCCCTTAAAATTAAAAAATGCTTCAAGTTATAGTAATATAAGGAAAATATAATATATTGGCAAATACTGATTTATGTAGTATTTATTTATTTAGTAGTAAAGTGATGGTCTAAATAATGCCTTATGTAACTGGGTCCGTATAACATCCTTATGAGGTAGATACATTTATCCTCATTTGAGAAAGGAGATTATGTTAGTCAGCTTCCTGTTTCCATACTATATATCTGAAAGTATCAGCTAATAAAGGGGTTTTATTTTGGTTCACAGTTTTAGAGGTTTCAGTCCATGGTCAATTCGTCCTATTATTTTTACATTGTGACAGGCAGCACATCATGACAGTAGTTCATGGGAACAAAAACACTCATGTCATGACCTGGAAGCAAAAGCAAGTGAGGAGGTAGTCAGGGTTCTGTAATTCTCTTCAAGGGCACACACCCAGTGACCTAAAAACCTCAATAGGCCTAGTCTCTTAAAGGTTCCACCAACTTCCCAGTGCCTCCCTCTGGATGGAACCTCCAACACATACATGATCTGTTCTATTTGCTGTATGTAATTCAGTGATAGAACACTTGTTTAGCATGTGAAAGACCTGTTTCATGCCCGTCACTGCAAATTAAATAAAATAATTAAAAAAAAAAAAAAACAAGGGTGGGGAGATCTATACCATACAAGAAGGAAGGAAGGTGAGTGATTTACTCTATGGCACACAACTCAGTGAGCGATAGAGCCAAGATACACACCTGCACAGTTTCTCTCTCAGGCTGTGTTTGGTTTGTGACATGCTGGCTGGATATTTCTGACACTTGAGGTATTAACAGATGTCAGTCATATTTTTGACATCTCAAAACTACTAACAATTTTATTATGGGTACTTAGTTATATGTTGTGTTTATAAAGTTTTTTTTTCAAATACAGAAGCAGCAAGTAATTTTTCCAAAATAAAGCGATTGGGGCTGCAGAGATGGCTCAATAGTTAAAGAGAATATACTGCTCTTGTAGAAGACTCAGGCTCAGTTCCCAGCCCCTACCTAGGACTCATAACTGCTATCACTACAGTTCCAGGGCACCTGGCACCTTCTGGCTTCTACAGGCAACTGCACACACTTAGTACACATAAACTCATGAAAAAATACATAATAAAAATAAATACACCTTTAAAAAATGAATAAAGAGAAACTCTGTTCCCAAGTTCCTGCCCCTCCTGGTGTTGGATGGTTTGATTTTCCTTCCAGAGTTTGTATTGTCATCTGTGTCCATGCACGACTCTTGCTCCCTTTTCTTCCCCCCTTTCCTTTTTCTCACTCTTAACAGTTTTCTGGTCTCTTAATTTTCATTTATAAAAAATGATAGCATGTTTATTTAATATCCTTTCTATCTTTTTAACTCTTAGAAGTAACATGATAATAAGATCCTGTAGCATAATTTTGCACACTAGTGCTGAAATTTCAATTTCTAGATGTGGGATTGTTGAATAGACAAGATAAAAGTTTTAAAAAAATAATTTTATTTATTTTATATGTATAACTGTTTTGTCTGAATGTATGTAAGTGCACTCATGTCATGCAATGTCCCTGGAAGCCAGAAGAGGGTGTCAGATCACCTGGAAGTGGAGTTAAGGACAGTTGTTAGCCACCATGTGGGTACTGGGAACTCAAGTGGGGTCCTTTGCTAGAACAGCCAGTGGTCTTAACCACTGAACCATCTCTCTGGCCCTGATAAAAAGATTTTTAATCCGACCTTGCCAAATTTGTGCATTCACAAAGAGGATATGAGAAAAATTGTAATCATTATAAAATGGTTTCTGAGATAGTGAAGCTTAAAAGCTTTTATATAAGAGAAAAGTAAGTTGGGAGAAAGGTAGTGACAGCAGTCATAAAAATACCATTATTAAATATAAATTCATCAGGCCCTTGTGGGGTTTTTTTTGTTTTTTGTTTTTTTAAATATTATTTTTATTTTATGTGTATGAGTATATTGCATGCATGTATGTGAATGCACCCATGTCGTGCAGTGCCGCCCATGCACCCATGTCATGCAGGTCAGAAGAGGGCTTCAGATTCCCCTGGAACTAGAGTTAAGGATGGTTCATAGCCTCCATGTGGGTGCTGGGAATCGAACCTGGGTCCCCTGCAAGAGCAGTCAGTGCTCTTAACCGCTGAGCCATCTCTCCAGCCCCCAAGGCCCTAGTGTTTTAATCTGACTGATTCAACCTGGAGTCCTTTGAAATCATCTCAGAAAACCTGGATCAATTACTTTTTTTTGTCTTTGGCTAAATAGTATTTCTCGTTTTATGTTTGTTAAATTTGTTTTATTTCTTCCTTTGTTCACTTTCTGAAAAATAACCTTTCTAACACGTAAAATATCAACCTTTTAAAGGGTGATAGACCAGAAGGTTTAGTCTTTTTAAATGTCAAGTAAAGATGAGGGCATTCCTGTGTGTGTGGTTTCTGCACTGATGCAGTACCACACCAAAGGACAGACACGGATTGGGTGTACTTTAGGGATGGTTATATTAAAAAAAACCCTCCAATTTTTACATTTTCAGATGCCCTCTTCTAGTGGTGATTTGGCAAATGATTACTGCTGTATTCGAGAAAATGTAGCCCAAGGAAACAGTTCCTTAGTAATTCTACAAGAAGATGTGCTTTTAAGATTCATGAAGGCTGTCATTTCTTTTTCTATTTCCCCTTTCTGAGAGCTTGTCTTCTTTCATGTGAAAGCTTTCATTAGGTGCCACTGAGTGCGTTTTGAGTGTTTCATTTCTCTGATGGTCTTGCCTGTGATGTAAAGTACCCTGGATGCTTCCTTTGTTTCCTCCTTCTGCTCTTTTTATTTTTCTGTTAACAAGCTTGGTATTACTCTGGGCTCTTTCTGAACACTAAGATTTAAATTGTAGTACTTACTCCTCTCTTAGCTGCATTTCCTTGATCTCTGGGGTATATAGTTTTCACTAGATATCCTGCAAAAGAACTTCCTTTCAGCTTTTAGGTGCTAAGAAGTTTTATAGTCTCAAAGGATGGAGCCAAATGTAAATTTCATTTCAGAGGCAAATTTTACTGCAAAGTGTATTATTTCAAGTGGTAGATGTTCAAGTGGGATGTTAGCCAGCCGGGGTATAAGAAGACAATATTAGAATCTTTATTTTATTTATTTATTTAAAATTATTTGTATCTGTATTTGCATGTGAGTACAGTGTCCATGGAGACTAGAAGGGGGTTTTAGATGCCCTAGAGCTGGAGTTACAGGCAATTGTGAGATGCCTGATTTGGGAACTGAGAACTAAATTTGAGTACTCTAGAAGAACAGTGAATGCTGTTAACCACTGAGCCATCTTTCCAGCCCCAAATATCTATATTCCTTAATTAAGAAATGCTTGAACTTCACTGATATTTATTTTATTGGATAGTATATGTAAATATATTTTGAAGTTACGTGGTCAGACTTGTTTCTATGATGGTAGATGAGCATATATATTGGTGACCACTGGGTTGAAATTCTATGCTACTGAGATGATTTGTATGGCTGTCATTCTGTTTCAAAGCTGTTTCAGATTGCTACATCTCACTGAGCCAGCAATCTTGAAGATGCGTGCTATTACTTGCTTAAGAGTAATTTCCTAACAGGAGTGTTACTCAGACTACAACACTTAAGATTATGGTTTTCTTTTTTCATACTAAATATATATCCATTGTGGAAAACTTAAAAAGGAAAAGGAGCAAAAAGACTATATAATCCCTGTCCTAGCAAAGAACTACAGAATTGTCTATGTAAAAGATATGTCTTACTATTTTGTATTTAAAGCAAAAGACTTACAGAGTTGTAGAGTTGGAAGGAACAGTGGTTAGAATTCATGTTTGATACTGTCCCCTTCTTAAACCACTAATCCACATGTTCACCAAATTTTAATGATTCCTTGCCAGACATGACTTGACATTTCTTTTTTACTCTAGTACATTATGTTGGGTAAGATCTTGCTTATCTCTTTTCTGTAATACTGTGCTTCAAGACTAACAACTTTGTCTTTTTAATCTTTGTAGTAGTTTGAAGTAAAGGAAAGAAAGCAATTCTTGTTGGATGCCTCCACTCTGCTAGACAGTGTACACATGTTGCCTCACTTTTCAGGAATGAATGGTTTGGTTTTGCAAGGGAAAGAATAGTCTTAGGGCGCTGAGAGAATCCACAGTTAATAAGTGGTGACTTTTGTATCTGGATCTGCATATTCCACAGTATCTCCAGGGTGTGGTTAGTTCTGAGGAGCCTGGACCAGTGCTGTCAGTCACTGGCCTCCAGAGGAGTGGCCTAAGGTGATAATAAGAAGTACTCAAAGTGGGTGTTGCCCATAAGTTCTGTGAGGACAAGGGTTTGGATTTGTTTTCCTCTGTATTCCTGTCCCAGAAGTGATAAGTTTTCAGTTGATCATTTGATGAACATGTGTTAATTAGACTATTGGCAGACTCAATAACAGGTACAAAAAAGACAAGAGCTGTGAAAGGGCCAGTGCTGTATAGGGAATATTCTGGCAAGGCTGATACATTCATATTTAATTTTAGGTAAATGCATAACACATTTTTAACATATCAAGGGTAGTCTTTTTTAAGCAATCAGTTTCTGTTGATTTTTGTTATGTGGAAATGAAAGGATCTTAAATGATAGAAAAAAAGGGAATGGAGAAATGGCTTACACTTCCTGTTCTTCACAAGGCCTGAGTTCAGATCCCAGTCCTTTTTCTCTGGGTATCCACACAAACATCGCATTCATTCACACACACAGACACAGACACAGACAGATACACTCAAATAAATAAATAAATAAATAAATAAATAAATAAATAAAATCTTTTTTTAAATGATCGAAAAAATGTAGGCAAATATTTATAAGCTCAAATTATCATGTTCTCTATAAGTGTACTAAGAGTTGAGTTCAGGGGCTTTTAAAGTTAAAGGGCCTTAAATAACTCCTGTCACTCCTCATCCCTTAGAAGTACCACACGTGGATATTAGTGTGAGAATCCTATAGACTTTCTTTTTGTCTTTCAGTGACACGGGTACGGTTGCTCCAGAAAGATGCCTGTTTGGGGCAATGCTTAACATCGCTGCAGTTTTATGTAAGTAATGAAAGTGAGAGTGGTTCTAACACCCAGAATCGATAGTTCAATTGAATTGCTGTGCCCTTCTTTAAATAGTTAACACTGCTTACTTTCTAGTTATACTTGAGAAAGTGTTATCACTAAATTATGGATCACAGTTATGTTCTTTGTTAAAGAAAAAACTTAGGTAGAAATGCTAAATTATGAAAATATTCCTTGAAAAACTCTATAGGGCTTATTTGACTTTTTTAAACAGGGGTTGTAAACACAACAAAATATTCTTTGAGGTCTTAAGTCGTTTTCTTAAACAAGAAGTGGGAAATCAAGAGCTTAGGTAAAACTTATCACACCTAATTCTTTATTTAAGAGTGGAGATGGAAATGGAAATATGTTTTCATTTTTGTTGTTATTCTAATACCAGGGAACTTACTATAGTGTCTTAATTTCAAATTAAATGATCAAGTATTTTTTTCATCAAATATGCTCATTTTAAGTAATATTGTTTGTCCATTTAATAATTATTACTTGCTTGCATAAAAATAGAAATTAGTACTCCCTAGATGGCTCAGCAGGTAAAGGTACCTGCCGTCAAGAGCCCATATTGGGGGAAGGAGAGAACCAACACCCAGTGGTTGTCCTCTGACCATGCATACACACCATGACACACGCATACCTACATACATATACACATACAGAAAACACATAAATGTAAAAGGAAATTTAAGAATAGAAATTAGAAAATAATTCCATTAAAGAACTTGGTTTTCTAAGCTCCTCAGAGAGGTGTCTACAAAGGCACATGTGTGCTGCTCTGCCTTCCTCCATGCCTGAGTTTGGCAATGTTTCTGCAGTAGAAAGATTGATTTGGCCTTTTCTTGAAAAATCAGTTTGTAAAGTGAAATCTGCTTTTTTGTTAATTGCTGTATCTGATTGATCGTAATTGTAGTAATCTGTAATAAAATGTGAGAGTGAGGCAGGAAAGCTTTTTGTTTGTTTTGATTCTGCTCATTTCAACCAAATTCTACAGCCAGTTACTGTTGACTTTGATACTAACCCCAAAACACTTTGTGTTTTATGTAATTCTTGGCATGAGAGATTTTCCAGAAGGCACCACACTTATCTCCTAAGTTTTATACTAAGGATTTGAGACCCCAGGGAGGCAAATGCTGGCCCAGGCACACAGAAGTTGAAGCAGTTCTTTGATACAGTCAAAAGATTTCTTAAAAACAAATGACTTATGTTCCCCCTTATATGTGGCTCCTAGCACCAAATCCTTTTAAATTCCAGGTACTTTTAATAAGATGATGCTATACAGCAGTCCCTTCTGCATGAAATAACTACCATCATCACGACTTTGGCTGAGCCTGATCACTAAACATCATCACAATTGGTCTTGTTGACAGCTGTGCTCATTCATTAAAGGAGGGCCAAGCAGGGTCACTGGACCCTCACCTGAGTATCCAGCCACGCTTCCTAGCCAACTAGTCCAGCCTTGGGAGACAAAAGAAAAATGAAGAAGAACCCAATAAAGGGATGCTTTTGGAAGCCCTTGTCAAGAAACTCCAATGGATTCTCATATGAACATTTGAAAATTGCCCTGTTCTGACTTTTTTCTAGTTCCTTGTCTAGAACTTGTAATGCTACTTACTCTTGCCTTTACTTCTGCTTCACATCTCTGAGTATTCATGATTCAAGGACTTTCTTTTCCCCTTAGAGACATGAGTTATGCAATGTCAGAGTCTTTTAGATAGACCCACTGAAGGGGTACTCCAATTACCTCACTCTGTGTCCATGTTCAGCATGGAAGAAGCCAGAGAGATCTGAGTCCCTATTCCCTATTGGCAGTTTGGGTAACCCCTTCAGAGGATGGCATGATAAGAATAGGAGGTAGGAGTTGGCTAGGCAGTTAGGGTAAAAAGACCCCAAAGAAAAGTAGCCAGTTTCTTGGCTAAAAGTCAAAATGTCCTTGGTCCTGTTAGCAACATACGCTGTTCAGAAGGCCAAAAATGTCAAAAGTATTTGGGAGCTTGTATCTACCCCTTAAAAGATTTTAGGGGTACCTCTTCAAAGAGGGGAATTTTGGAGGGGAGGGTGTGGGCATGGATTTGATCAAAACACCTTATATGCATATATGAAATTCTCAATAAAGGTTTTGTAAAAGTTAAAAAAAAGAAAAACTAAAAGTTTAAAAAAAAACCAAACTATCGTTGTTGTTGTGAGTTAATCTTAAAAGGACAGTATGTGTTTCTGGGCAGCAATTGACCTTTGTGACCACTTCATTGACGGTTTTATCCCCTGGTTACTCATTACTTGTTTTTGTTCGGATTTTCTTTTTCCAGGTCTTGCCACCATGTATGTTCGTTATAAGCAAGTTCATGCCCTGAACCCTGAAGAGAACATTATCATCAAATTAAACAAGGCTGGCCTTGTACTTGGAATCCTGAGTTGTTTAGGACTTTCACTTGTGGCAAATTTCCAGGTTTGTTTTTCAGTCCAGCATAGGTATTTTCCTAAAGTTCATAAGTATGCATGTTAAAAGAGAAGGCCGGTCCACTCAATTATGTGCTCTGAACTGTTTCTTTACCTCAACAAATGCATTACTGCTGCTGTGTTATTTAACCCTCTCAGAAACAGCTACTTTCACTATTAGAAAAATTCATATTCAATCATTTGAACCAGTATATATTATAATTTTTCAAGATCCATAAGATAGTTATTAGACTTCATTGCTACTTAGTTGGGGATTACTTCAAGATCAAACAGAATTAATGTATATAAGACTTTGTTTGAATGAAAATTAATAGAAATTATGTGACCATCATTGCAGATTTAAGCCTTGGCTACTTTGTTTGTAATGTACCATTAACCTTATATCCTTATTTGGTTGTTTCAGCCAATTGCCTGCATTCCTAGGTCCCTGTAGCTGTGAAAGTGAGGGTGGGATATATACCTTTTCCAACTTTTTCTCAGAATTCTTAATACTAAAGTAACAGCCAACCTTCTCCAAATGAAGTCGTGTGAACTATAATGGTGGAGATACGTTGTTAAGCAGTTCCATTGTGCATACATCATAGATTACACTTATGTAAAGTAACGGCTATGATATCAGTAGGTAGCTTAATCTTACAAGACCATCATTGTATATTCAGTCCGTCATTGAGGGAAAGGTTGCTGTAGTAGTCCGTGACTTTTGTAAACTTCCTAGTTTCCTGTCTGTGGACATTCTCAGGAGTCACTGGTTGCATGCTGGATATGTGGTGCTCTTTGGTTAATCTTTGTGATCTTTAAAGTTTTAGTTGAGACATTTGATAAAGTGTTTAGCATCTAATAACTAACAAACACCCATTATACAATACAAATGTGTGTGCGTATTTTGTCTTAATTTAGCATCTTATTCTGCTTCTGATTAGTCTCTCCTGATTTCGGATTTGAGGTAATGGTTAGTAAGAGATTGACCGTTCCTTATCTGAAATGCTCAGGATTGAGAGTGCATCAGATATTAGAGGGGGTTTGTTTATTTGTTTGTTTGTTTGTTTGTTTTGGGGGGGGTGCTTAGAAAGTGTTTAATTTTAAAGTGTTTGAATTGCTGGATTTTGGATTAATTTTGAATTTTAACTTGTATAATCACTCTAAGTATAGTCCAAATGGCTATTAGTTAAGATAATGCTAGCTGCTGTAACAAAGAAACAATGGCTTATCACAGGAAGACTTATGTTTTATATATATAGAGAGAGAGATGTAGATAGGTAGGTAGAGATAGATAGATAGATGATAGATAGATAGATTAGATAGATAGATAGATAGAATAGAGAGAGATATAGATAGGTAGGTAGAGATAGATAGATGATAGATAGATAGATTAGATAGATAGATAGATAGATAGATAGATAGATAGATAGATAGATAGGTAGATCTCCTGTGAAGGGTTTGGTTTTGGTGGTGGTTTTGTTGTTGTTTTGTTTGGCAGGCACCTTTTCCCACAATGGCTTAAAGCATAGTCTTGGTCCATCTTTGAGCTCTAACATGCTCTAGGACATAATTGTCTTCTGGATCCTGCTGACTGAAACAGCAGAAAGGGTGTAAAAAATGACAGCTCCTTCTTAAATCTTCAACCTATGTAAAAAGTTATTCTTCAGTGGCATTTATTAAAGAATGGCTCAGGCAGACTTCTATCTTGATAGGTGAAGTTACAACTTTTACAGGAGTTTCACTGAGGAAGAAAGGTTGGGCTCAACTCTGAAGAGAAGAATGGGAATTTATAGTCAAAAAGCAGAATGAGGGTCCTAAGAGGGAACACATAGGATAAGAAGGAGCACTGACTGAGAGCAGACTGAGGTGATTAGGTACCACCTGGGGGGGGGTGATAGACTGTGGAGCCTGATTAGGGTGGTTGGGTACTTAGGATATGGGATTTAGGCAAGATTCTTGCCTAAATTAGAAATGTGGAGATAAACCTTGAACCGCAGATACCAGGCCTAGTTGAGAAGAAAGTTCAGAGGAATCTGAGTGGAGTTAGATTGAGAAGAGAGTCTTGGTTATCTGGCTGTGGGTCACATCATTTCACTAATTCTCATTTTCTCGAAGTGCTCAGTGGGGCTTGGAGTGACTTGAAAATGTAGTGCTGTACGTTGGTGTTAAGGAATATAATCTCCCTATGCTATGGAAGGGGAACTAAAATTTTGGTGGACAGTTAGCTAGCTGTATGTGATAAAAATAGAATTCTGCTTTCCCTAGTTAGTTTCTGTAGCTCAGCATTAAAAATGTTTTATTTAATTTTTAGGGTATAGATAAAAAATTTTTGCTATAGTTGTTCTTTGTGAAATTAAATGGATCCCAAGTATATACCCAACCCAATAACTCTAGTCCGAATTCCTGATAGTGTACATATGGGCTGCTTTTCTACCGTGTCCTAATTTCCTGTAAGTTTTTTTTACTGACTTTGTTTTGTTTTCTGCATTTATCCTAATTTGCTTTAACTACACCATTATCATTTTGGATCAGCTTACTCACTCTCTTGATTACACCTCCTCCTTCAACTTTGGACCTCTTACATGTCCTGTTTGTCTCTCACTGATGACTTTTTCTTTTTGTTAGGCCTTTTTTCCATAGACCCTAGCAGCCTCAAATACCAACTAGCTCTTTCTGATGGAAGTTCTTCCCACTTATTTAAAGTGTTGAGTATTACCTGCCTTTTCCTCCCCCCTTTTGTAGAAGCAAATTTTAGTTGGTTTATATGGGAAAATGTACGTAAATGACGTTTATAAATAGCCTAAAATGAAGTATGATGGTTTGGCAGAGCTTAGGAGTGTGTTTTGAATGTAGTGATGACGTACTGTTTTTTTCTCGTAGGTATTTCTTGAATACTGCTGCTTCTCATTATTTCTATCTCCACTTCCTTCCATACCAACTCCTTTTGAACATACTTACTTTTCACCCTTTTTAACATGGCCCACTCCACAGGTTCCTCAGTGCTTCATCTGTATTCACTCTTTTTTCCCTTTAATCAGTTCTTGATTTTTTTTTTATTTGGTTCCAAAGTGATCTCTCAAGAATATGTCTTTTTCTCACCAGTTCAAAAAAGTAGTCAAAGCACGGTACATTTATAGAGAATATTGAAATGAATTAAGAATGAATGCAAAATTAGCAAAAGTCATAATTCAGAGGGTAGGAGTTAGTCACATTCAAGACGATGCAGTTTGTATTCCATTGGTACGGAGCGCTTGCATTATCATCTGTAAGTGCTGTCTCTCTGTGTATACTTTCTTTACAGAAAGGTTCAGCATAGCCTAGTCAGAGCCCTACAAATTCACTCCTTAGGACCAGCTAGTTGCCAGAGGCCCTAGCTTTCCATCAAAAGAGTGTTCAGGAATCTCAGGATCTTCTCCTTTGTTTTCAGTCATTAAAATTATGAAACTCAATGTAAATTATGTTAAGTTCCAGCTTTGTATACTTTTATTTCAATTTTAAAAACAGGAAATACTCTCCATTCTTTATTTTTTACTTTTTAATTCAAAGATTTTGCTTAGAAACTATATGCTGACATTGATTGGGCTGTATCTATATTGAGCTTTATCTCTATAGAACATTCCAAGCCCTCAAGCATAGCTGCCCCTCTCTAAAAGATAATCAGTGCCTTTGACAAACAAGCTATAATCCCTTACTTCTATACAATAGCATTCAACCAAGGAAATGTAGACAGACTGGATTTGTGAATTGGTACAACTCATTGTAAAGAAGGAAGCAGTGCCTTCTACCAAAGGAAATAAATGCCACCAGTTTAGAAAAGCAACAGTTCAACCGTCTTGGATTAAAAAATTTGATTGTAGAATTTTGAGAACTGCTGTCACTTTTAAATAGATGGGCTATACAGTGTTAGAAGTAAAATGTGAGTGAGTGCTGAGTACCCATAAGATGAGTAAGGTAAGGGGAAGCATAATTAATGATAATCCCTGTGCCATAATCAATATCAATCAAAGAGGTGCCAAGAAGGCCTTAGGTTACACTTAAATCGAAACTCCCTGCTGACACTCTCAGCTATGCAAACCCTTCTTAACCTGAACTGCTCCTTTCCTGTTATTACTGCCCTCTCATGTGTACTATAGAGCTTCCCTTTCCTGGTTTGTTATTTGTTGTTGTGCACCTTCACTAGAATGTGAATTGTGAGGGCTGCATTTTTGTCTATTTTGTTCACTTATCTATTGACAACTTAAAACTGTCTGTTATCTAAAAGGCACCCAGTCAGCATGTTAAATAGGTTTAGAAAAAGAGTAATTGCTAGCCATTTTCATTGTTAGCACATGAAATCACCTGGTTTTCACTGTAATCTACAGGTATATGTTATATAGTGTCAGAGAAAATGCTTCGGGAAGTAACTTGTAGTGTCTGCGGAGCTTCTCCACTCAGTAACTGTCCTGTTGAAATCTTTGGCCTCTGCTTTTAAATCCTGGATTGTCAGTGTGGTCTGAGTTTCTCTTACTGATTTCTTTTTCCCACCTCTCAGAAAACAGCACTATTTGTTGCACATGTATGTGGAGCTGTGCTCGCCTTCAGTATGGGCTCATTATATATGTTTGTTCAGACCATCCTTTCCTACCAAATGCAACCCAAAATTCACAGCAAACAAGTCTTCTGGATCAGACTACTGTTGGTTATCTGGTGTGGAGTAAGTGCATTTAGCAGTATCCTTTGCTGTAAAATGTGGCTACAATTCAGAGACCAGAATTGCAAAATATGTATACAGTAGATACACTGTAAGTAGCTCTTTTTTTTAGTAACTCTAAGCTTGAAGGACTTTGTACTTGAAATTTAGAATGAAATTCAATAACTAAGCCAGGAACAAAAATAATTTTAAGCATAATTGTACTTCAAAGAAATGAAGGTGTTAGTATGCTCCGTATACCAATTATTCAATGGAGATTGATGTTAGAGCTGCTTGAGCAAAGAGGGAAGGAATTGAAGATGAGAACCATTTCATACTGATTCTCTGGGTTCATTTTTAGTTTTATTACTGCTGTGCGACATTGGTTCTTTAAGGAAACAGGTTTGGACCTTGGCAGCAAATGTGTGAGCTAACTTTTAAGGTGATTTTTCTGTTGGATCTACAAGTTTAAACCCAGAGGTCTCTCAGATTCTTCCTTGACTTACTTTTTTTATAGTGCTGACTTGCTCATCAATTTTGTACAGTGGCGATTTTGGTGCTGATTTAGTACAGAAACTGCACTGGAACCCTGAGGATAAAGTAAGAGCTTAAAGTCTATAAACATATATACATATACACATGTTTTTTGGTGTTGTTGTTGTTTTTGTTTTTTTTGAGACAGGGTCTCTCTGTAGCCTCAGCTGTCCTGGAACTCACTATGTAGACCAAGCTGGCCTTGAACTCACAGCCTGCCTCTGCCTTCTGAGTGCTGGAATTAAAGGTGTGTGCCACCACACCTGGCTACTTAAATCATTTTTTAAAAGATTTATTTTCATTTTTTATTTATGTGTCTCTTGTGAGTGTATGCCACCTGTGGATGCCTGGGCAGGCCAGAAGCATTAGATCCACTGGAGCTGGTGTCACACACAGTTGTGAATTCGCAAATATGCGTGTTGGGACCTGAACTCAGGTCCTCTGGAAAAGTACCATTTACTCTTACCTGCTGAGCCATCTTTCCAACCCCTGTATAAATAAAAATTTAAATTAGTATACAAACAATAAAGATACCCCTTATTAAAGTTTAAGTTGAGTACTCTTGAAATTTTCCTAATGGTATTTTATGAGTTTTGCGTAGACACACACACACACACACACACACACACACACACACACACTATACTGTGTATATGTATATATGCATGTGGAAGCCAGAGGACAACCCCAGCTGTGGTTCTTCAAGTGCTGCTGCTTATCATGTTTTCTGAGACAGGGTGTCTCACTGGCCTGCAGGTTTTCTACTTGGCTGTGCTGGCTAGGCGGTGAACTCCAGGGATCTGCCTGTCTCCACCTCCTCAGCTCTAGGATGATAAGCATACACCACTGCACCTGGCTTTTTAATGTGGCTTCTGGGGAGAGACTGCAGGTTCTTGTACTTGCATAAGTACTGTACCAACTGAGCTCTCTTCAGTACCTCCCTCATATATACTTGAAAAAAAATTAGTGTTGGGTCTCAAACCCAGTATCTGTACAGGCTAGGCACAACTTTATTTTTTGTTTGTTTGTTTGTTTGTTTGTTTTGCTTTTTTTTGTTTGTTTGAGGCAGGATCTCACCATGTAGCCTAGGCTCACCTTGAATTTGCAATCCTCTTCCCTGACTGTCCCAAATTCGGGGATTACAGAGGTTTGTTTATGAATCTTAGGACTTTAGGAAAAACAGCAGCTCCCTGGATATAGAGCAGAGATTTAGATTCATCTTAGTTATTTAGTGAAGTTTTATTTCAAGTGAAACTATGGAAGCAGGTATCAGGAGGAACTCCAAATGTCTTTTCTAATTCTCAAGGCATATCCAAAAATCAAGGGCTCACCAGGCATGATGGCAACACCTTTAATCCCAGTACTCGGGTTTAAAGTACAGAGGCAGGTGCATCTCTATGATTGAGGCTAGCTTGCTCTACATACAGAGTTCCAGGCCAGCTGGGACTACAGGGAGACCCTGTCCTCCTCCAGAACAATAATAAACAAACAAAATCAAGGGCTTATTTTCAGAAGGCAGACTGGGCCATAAAAACTTGAGATTTTTTTTTAATTGGAGAAATACTGTAGATTATGTGAATAAAACTTCACAAAAGTATTCTTTCTCTCACTCAAGGGTTACGTGCTTCACATGGTCACTACTGCAGCAGAATGGTCCATGTTGTTTTCCTTTGTTGGATTTTTCCTCACGTATATTCGTGATTTTCAGGTAAGAAAACATGATACTGCTTCTGTGAAGTCAAATTTCCTTCAGGTAGAAACCAGAACATCTCATTGGCAAATCTGCAGGTGCTTGTAAAACTGCGCTGTTGAGAATTTGGCACCAGAGAGAGTGATATTCAAAGAGTACTCCTGGTAAAATTGTTTTGCGTTTGGGGAGAACTGTGTTGCTAGCAAGGTTCAGCCTTGATAGAAAATTACAGAGTATATCTTAAGACATTCTCTGATAAACTTCTAGTTTGGATATATTCATACAGGCACAACCCTAACAGTTTTTACTACATCGTAGTAAAAACCTAAAGAAAAACAGAAAATTTTCTAATAGAAGAGGTGGTGTCCCCTTATTACTTGGTGGTCAGGTCGTGCTACTTTTGGCTGTGTAACTATTTTTGTTCTCCATTAGATAGATTTATATCTGTAAATCTTGAACATATTGAAGAGGTCATCTCTCTTTATGGACCAAACTTCCCTATGTAATTTTCTTTTCTGTTCCAGAAAATTTCTTTGCGGGTGGAAGCCACTTTGCATGGATTAACCCTCTATGACACTGCTCCTTGCCCTGTTACAAATGAACGAACACCGCTGATTTCCAGAGATTTCTAATGAAAGGATAAAATAAATGTGTGATGATTATGATTCTCAGGGATTGAGGAAAAGTTCACAGAAGTTGCTTATTATACACTGAAGTTTTTAATGAGGTAATCAATGCAGACTGACATTTATGAAGAATGGTAATCAGGAGACATGTAATAAGCCCTTTGATAAGTTTTCTTAAAGGATGTCATTACAAAGAAGACTATTTAAAAACATTTATCCCAATAATTTTTTTTAATCTCAGAAAATAAAAACCAAAGGACTACAACATTGTAGTTTTTTTCTACTTTATTAAAGAGAAACAGTTTGAACTGTACCAAGTAGGCTGGGTAACTGGCCTTAAACATTTTGTAAGTTATTGTAAAAGAATCTGTTAGTACTTTTATGAGTGACATTTTCAGTGATCCAAAATAAGGAGCATTGGTCAGCAAATCATTTCGAATTAGGATTTGAAGTTGAAGTTGGACTATATTAATATATTTCTTACAGTGCTTAAACTTCTAGTGTTGTTCCAGCATCGCCTCGTAAATATGACTTGACCTGAACTTCATGTGAATTCTTTGGTAGATTAAATTTTGCACAAGAGATTCAATAAGTATTGAAGTGATTATGACCACAAGGCCAGGTACCATACTAATTGATCTGTCATGCATGCTTACAGTAGTTGCATAAAGCCTATGTCTCTGGGACTGTTACATTCATAATGACCAGTGAAGGGAAGAGACACCTATAGCAAATTTGCTACCATTATATTCTATATTAATAAGGAAAAAGCGTTAATGGCTGATGACATGGCTCAGTAAGTAAAGTCACTTGCTGCTTAGCCTGACAACCTGAGTTTAATCCCTGGCTCCCACGTAATGCAGAGAGCTCAACTCATGTGAATCCCCACATGCATACTGTGGCATGCACAGGCACTTACAATAAATGAATATAACAAGATAAATTTTGATATTCCTAAATAAGACTGATAAGTCTGCGAATAAAAATAGATATGATTACTAACAAGCAAAAGTCTCCCCAAACTGCAGTTAGGTGCTTCTTGGATTTTCACTGATAGAAAATTATAATTACTAATAAAAGTAGTCTTAAGCAGGTAGATGTTGAGCTTTTTTAATGGAATGTGATCTTTAAGAACCTAGATTTTAGAGAACAGACTCAAATCAGAAGCAAAAATTAAAACCAAGGTACATGTGATACATGCATCTATCTTTTTCTCTTGTCATACAAATGATTGTATAGTTTCTACTTGATTCTCTCTGCAGATAATGATTCATAGATCCCAATAAGATTAAAAGGAAGAATGACCTAGAAAGTGCCCAATGTCAAACTAGTTTATAAAAGAATCTTTGAAGAATACTAACCTAGTTTATATTTTTAGAATAGATGGGACTAAAACCAGAAGAAAAATGGTAAGAAGGAGCAATTTAAGGGAAAATGTTTATATATTGGAGCTATAGACTTCTAATATAAGTAAACTGTTAGATATAGGAGTCAGAAACTGTTTCTGAAGAAACATTCTAACCTAATAAGTAAAGAGTACTTACCTATGCCAAGCAGCAGTGTATAGGGAAGACATTTCAGTAAACAGTGGTTGATTGATCACTAGGGGAGAAACTTCCATACAGATCATGAAAAGGTATTATGCCTTTCAGTAATCGTGATGTAACCACACATGGAGGGTATCTGTTCCTGATTGTTATCTATCAATAAATCAAGTTAGGAAGTATCTGCAGGGTGGCGAAATGGATGTTAATAGACTCAGTCATGAAACTAAATATGGGGAAGGTGGCTAAGGGAAAAACCTAGACTTGTTAATTGCCCCATAGAATATTAACCTTAGAGATATGTATCAGACAATAAAGAAATTGTTTTAAGATAGTATTTAAATTCTGCTAGTTAACTTGCCCTTAAAAATAAGAAAAACTGAAAACAATGGGTTTAAGGAAGAGATTATAAATCAAGAAAAATATGGACTATGTGTTCCTCCCAAACCTTAAGGCTGACATGATGATAGACAGTGATAGTCTTCCTCTAAATATCCCTTATCGATATGTCGAATACAGTAGTTTGGATAAAATAATGACTTTTAAAAATCTGTGTTGTGTCTGTGTGTGTGTGTCTGTGTGTGTCTGTGTGTGTCTGTGTGTGTGTGAAACTTTAGCTTTCCAAATAGGTCTTACATGTACACATGAGCAATACTAAATGGACTTAGTATATATTATACACACGTAATAAGAGTTCATCAATTTGAGAGGGAGTGGGGGAACATGGGAGAAGTTGGAGGGAGAGAAGGGGAGTAGAAATGATGTAAATACAGTACTCATGTATGAAATTATTAAAAACATAAATAGTGAATAGAATTATCAGGTACCATGAACTGAGAGTGAAAAATCTTATTTCCTCTTTGTCTTAGATTTACAGGTGATGGGATTATAGGAGTGTGCTACCATCCCTGGCTTTTAAGGGTCTGTAAGCCACTGTATCCTCCAAAGGACCTGTTAATTGACTAAAAGAGTTGTCCTGAGGCTCAGGAAGTCAAGGAAACAAGTATATTATAAAGAAAATGCCCCAGATATCCTAAAATTTGCAATGATGATGTAGTGCACAGAAAAATTTATTGTTTAGGAAACTAGCAGTTCAGCTGAAAAGTACAAAGATTATAATAGGATCTCACCAATGCTCAGACCCCGATCTCTGCTGAAAGCATGTTTGTCACTTGTCATCATCAAATGGAATGATGAAGTGTGTCACACTGTAGCCACAAAGGCCAGGTCCTCTCCATCAGCAGAGCAGATTGATTCAGGCTCCCAGACACGAATGCCTGGGCAAAAGAAGGGCATACTGTTTGCTGAAGGTAGCTATTAATGTTTTTCATAGGCCGGGTGTGGTAGCACAGGCCTTCAATCCCAGCATTGGTGAGATATAGGCATGCAGAGCTCTGTGAGTTTGAGGCCAGCCTGGTCTATATAGGGAGCTCCAGGCCAGCCAGAGTGACATAGTGAGACCCTGTCTCAAAAAAGAAAAATGGGGGGAAAAAAAAGGAAAAAACTAATTTTTTTTCATACTATTGTCTTTTTGTAGAAGATATCTGGCAAAAATAAAAAAAAAAATGGCAAGACGTAAAATTTCCTGTAGGGAGGGAGCAGTCAATATAAATCAGAGTTATCAGAGGTTGATAACTACAGTGATAAAGTACTGAAAGATGTAGACGAGAAAGAGGAGAATAGGTATGAAAACAGAAAACCTCAGCAAAGATAGGGAAATTTGTACAGTTCTAGAACTGAATATGATTTAAGACAACCCAGCAATTGATCAGTAAACTTGGAGACAGCACAGTTGAAAAATATATAAATCTCATAAAAGGAGTAAAAATAAAAACAATATCTGAAATTTGAAGGAAAAATCAAATTCTCTAGCTTCTTTGTAGTTGAGTTTCAGAAGGAAGAGTGAAAAAAGGATAGGGAGAAAAATTTGAAGAGATCTTGACTAACGACCTTGTTGACGTTGTTGGAAGTTGACACAGAAAAATCAACAAAGTGAAGAGTGAATCAAAAAATAGTAATTAAAATTGATGAACTCTTAGCAAAACTGAATAGTATCTCCCCCAAAGTTCATTGCCTCCTGCAACTGCAGAGTATGATTTTTTTTTAGATGGAATAATATAATATAATTAATATAATTGGTTTAGATAATGTAATTAATATGATTAGCTTAGTTTGTACTACATTAGAGTGGACCCAAACCTACTGGCTAGTGTCCTTATAGGAAGGCCAGAATATAAAAGAATATAGAAAAGGTCACATGAAGATGGAGGCAGAGACGGGAGAGACATAGCTGCAAGTCAAGGAATGCCTAAGTTTGCCAGAAGCCAGGCAGTATTTTCCTGTAGTGCTTTTAGACAGAGCAATGAAGCATTTTCCTGCAGTGCTTTTAGAGGGAACCTTGATTTTGAACAGTTATCCTCTAAAACTTAGGGACAAATTTCTGTTATAAGTTACCCAGTTTATAGTAATTTGGCATGGCAGCCTACTAAGAAAACTCATCAAATTAAAAAGGGAAGCATGATGAATGTCAAGTCAAAGGAGAATGTATTAGGTGGGCTTCTCTAAAAGAACAGAATCGACAGAATGTGTATAAAATGTAGAAAAGAGGCTGGCTAGAATGACTGACAACCAAACAGTAGGGGCTCAGTAGTAAGTACAACAATGGCTGTACTTTTTATGCTGGAGAGGCTGCTCAGTGCACAGAGCCAGATGCCTCAGCAGTCCCAATTGGTGCTGAAGGACTGGAAGACACTGGATATTCACTGGTCTTCAGTCCACACTGGACAGAAAAATCTAAAAGACTGTTTACTGAAATATTAAATTGGCAACTACAAACCTTGCCAAAAAGAAAATTCAGAGTTCTCATTATTTCTTTGGAGAATTCTGTAAATATTTAGGTTACAAGTAATACTAAACTCTGAACAGAATTGAAAGAAAATAGCACAGTTACCTGTGATCTTAAAACATTAAGTGAAAATTATGAGGAATAAACAGTTGGTAAAATTGAAATTTTTTATTGTTTTGAGTCACATGATAGAATCTTTTATCAGCTCACCTGGCATGTGAATTATCTTTTTGTTCATTACATCCTGCTGTTTATACTACCTTCCCATGGTATCTAGTGGCTGTCTTGTTTATGGTATATTTTATTTATTACAGTGCTTGTGATCATGGAACTCTTACTTTGCTGAATAATGGCTCAACAATAGAAGTGCAGTAATACTGGAAACTTAGGTATTCCAGGGGAGGCTTTAAAGTTCTTCTTCCAGATAAAGATGATTAATGAGGAAAGAAAATAATATGCGGAGCTTGCTGAGAACAACTCTGTTCATGACATTGTGAAGAAGGGAAAATAATTTCTTGTTAATTTTGCTTTCACTGTAAACTAAAAGTTACAGCTGCTGTGCATGGTGCTAAGTTGAAAAGGCTTTGAATTTATGTGCATACATGTAGAATAAAATATATAAGGTACAATATTGTTTGTTTTTAGATACCTAGTTGTGATCCTAGAATGTTTCCCCAAAGGATAAAGGAAAGTACTATAATTAAAAGTTGAAGGTGGCAACCCTTATGTTGAGGACTTTTTCACAGGCCTATACTGAGATCCGTGAGGATGAATAACTCTGAGGAGAGGCCCCATGCCTACGGCCTTACATATCTACCCAGCTGTTGCCCCAGAAAAGTGTTTCTGAAATACCCAATGTTAATTCAGTATTTTGAAAAGAAAAAGTTGAAGGTGACCTTAATTGTTTTTCCATGTGTTATTTAGTTTGAACTTGTTGTTTTCAAATAACTAGCCAAAACAGTATGGCATAACATTTACTTTTCACCTATTTCTCTCAGGGATAATGTTTTGTATAACTGTAGCAAAATACTGGAATTAGGAAACTACCAGTGATGCAATACTCTTATCTAGGGTTAAAAGGCCCATATTTACCATTTTTACATGCATATGCATGTGTACATGCATGCCTGTGGTGTGTGAGCATAATTCTGTGGCATGTTATCTTGTGTATAATTGTATGACCACAATCAAGATACAGAACTGTTGTATCACACAGGAAATCTCTCATCTAACTCTTGAACAGTTTTTTAGTGCTGGGCATTAAACCCAGGGCTGGAATGGTGCCAGGCAAGTACCGAGCTACTCACTCCACCCTTCTTGATGCTAATTTATGTTTATTAATATTCTTCATCTCCATACACTTGAAAACCCTAATCTCTCCATTTCTATAGTTTTATCATTTCAGGAATGTAATATAGGATGATACAGAAACAAGAAGGAGTTGTTAATCTTATCGGGCAAAGTAGACGTCAAAAGTAAAGGAATAAAGGAGGTCACTTCATTGTGATCGAGAAAACAATTGACCAAGAAGACATTGCAGTCATATATATATATTTGACCAAACTCTCATGCCCCCAACTTCATGAAAAGAGTACTACTGGACTTCAGGTCACAGATTAGCTCCACCTCAATAATAGGAGATGACTTCAATACCCCACTCCCTCCAATAGACACATCATCTGCACAAAGAATAAACTGAAACATCTGAAGTAAATGATATGCATAAAATGGACCTAACAAACATATACAGAATATTCCACCCAAACACCAAAGAATGCACATTCTACTCAGCACCCATGCATGTTTCTCTAAAGCAGACAGCATACTAGGACACAAAACAAATCTAAATGAATACAAAAAAAGTTGAAATAATTCCATGTATCCTTTCTGACCACAGAACAATAAAGCTTAAAATAAGTAACAGAAGAAGCTCTAGTAGGTACAAGAACTCATGGAGATTAAACAAAATATTACTACTGAATGATGACTAGGTCAAATAAATCAAGAAGGAAAGAAAAATAATCCTGGAACTAAATAAAAATGAAAAAAACAAAACTATTGGGGCATATTAAAAGTGGTCCAAAGATGGAAATTTATAGCTCTAATCACCTACATTAAAAAATCAGGAAGAGTGCAAATAAATGACGTGGCCATACAACTCAAGAATCTGGTAAAACGTGCAAATCAAACCCAACAGATGAGAAGAAATAATAAAAATACAGAGCAGACATCAATGAAATAGAAAAAAATTAAGAATTTAAAAAATCTAAGAGCTAGTTCTTTAAAGCATAATCAAGATAAAACCTTAGCCCAGCTCATCAAAAGAAAAAAAAGCAAACCCAATTCAACAAAAATCAAAGGTATAAAGGGAAACATTACAATTAATACCAGAGTAATCCAGCACTAAAAAACCTGTACTCTGTTAAATAAGAAAATCTGAAAGAAATGGATGGCTTTTCTAGATTTAATCAAACCACCAAAGTTAAACTAAGAAGAAATCAACCACTTAGACCCATAACAAATATGATTGGAACAGAAATAAAAAGCCTTTCAACTAAAAGCCCATGGATTCACAGCAAAATTTTACCAGACCTTCAAAGAACAACCACCATTAGTATTTAAACTATTCAAGAACAAAGAAACAGAGGGAGAATTCCCAAGTTCCTTCTATGAAGCCAGCATTACCCTTAATACCAAAACCAGGTAAAAGGACAACAAAAAAGAAAGCTATAGGCCAATATCCCTAAAGAACTTCAATGCAAAAATTCTCAACAAATGCTTGGAAAACGCACACACATTTCAAAATGATCATCCACCATGATCAAGTTGGTTTTATTCCAGAGATGCAGGAATGGTTCAGTTTAAGTCAGTAAGTATAATAAAGCATATAAACAGATGCAAATACATTTTAAAAAATCACTATCAATAGATGCAGAAAAGGTTTTGGCAAAATTCAATGTATATTTGTGATAAAAATGGTAGAGGGAATTGGACTAGTGGGAACACACCTCAACATAATTAAGGCTATATATGGCAAACCCACAGCCAACAAAATACTAAATGGATTACCTATTAAGATACCCATTAAGATAATGGAAGATAGTGGAGACAAGGCTCTCCACTATCATCAATTCTTTTCCATATAGTGCTTGAAACACTAGCTAGAGCAGTAAAGAGAGGGAAATTAAAGTGGTACTAATTGGAAAAGAAGAGGTCAAATTATCCATGCTTGCACATGATATACATAAGAGATCCCCAAAATTCCACCACAAAAGTTGAAATGATCAACACTTTTAGCAAAGTGGCAGGATACAAAATCAATTTACAAAAATCAGTAGCCTTTTTATATACCAATAACAAACAGAGAAAGATAGCATAGAAATGCTCCCATTTACAATAGTCTCAGTAAAATAAAAGCCTAGGAATACACCCAAAGATATTAAAGATCTCTTCGATGAAAACTAAATCTATGAAGCGATTGAAGAAGACCCTAGAAGATGGAAAGACTCCCTGTGTTTATTGATTGGCATAATTAATATTGTGAAAAATGACCATGCCATCAAAAGCATTTTATAGATTCAATGCAATCCCAATCAAAATCCCCATGACATTCTTCACAGAATTAGAAAAATGCACCCTAACCTCCATATGGAACCATAAAAGAGTCTGGGGATAGCCAAAGCAATCCTGAGCACAAAGAGCAATACTGTAGGGGTTACCATACCAGATTTCAAACTATATTA